TCATTAAAGCAAAAATAACAAAAAGGCTACAGATTAAACTCCTGTGGGGAGAATCCCTTTTAAAAAAAAAAAATAATTTTCAAGTTGTTCTGCTGTTCAAGACAGAAACAGCTTTTTCCTCCATGGGAAACGTGGTTCTGGGGCAGCATGTGTTCCCGCAGCCTAACTGGGAGCAGGACTAATCTGCCTGTAAGCAAAGCAGAGGTGAGCCAAGTCCCCATGGGTATGTCACCTTCCTCTTCCACCTCCACCATTCCAGGGCCCAGAAAGGAAGAACACGGTGCCATTCCCCACCCTCTCCTAAACCATGTTTTACCTCAGGTAGTATGGAGGTGCTAGCATAGCACGTTTGTTGCCCCTATCAAATATACAGAGTAACTACCACAGGGGTGACGATCAGGTTTTAAGACACTTCCCAGGACCTGTGCACACATTGGTCCCCAAATCTAAGAGCTCGTGGCGTACAAGGGCAATTAAGGCAAAAGCTGAGAGAGAAAACCACAGCACTTTCCAAGGTCACTCGCACCTTCAGAATCCCACGGGACTGTCCCATCCATGTGGGCTCATTGGGAAGCAGCAAGGACAACCATTGCATGCAATCCGATAAGCAATACTCTGCCTGAACAAGGCAGCTTTTGCCAGGGGAAGGGCAGCCGGGGATTGCGCAGGGACAGGAGCAAGGACTCCAGCAGAGGGGCCCCAGCAGCTGCCGAGCCAGGACGGGTGGAAGGAAGTTGCTCTCTGCGGGATCAGGCCCTTACGGCTAAGGTGAAGGAGGTCTCGTTTGCCCTTGTTCCATAATTTATATCACAGTATTGAAGTGTCATTGAAATTGTCAGAAGCGTTTTAGTAATACAGGAAGGGGAAAAGATGCTCTAATCGCAAACTAGGCACCCAAGTAATCACTCCATAGATCTCAGCCTCCCCTAATTTATTCCGATACATTTTTTTAATCAGAAATTCATACACAGCAAAATGATTAACAAGTCACGAGTACCACCTATTTCCTAGCGCCAGCGAGCTTTTGCTAGCCCGGAGTCCTCTGGCTGTCACGGAGTGGGGGGAAGTGGGACTGAAGGACCGACAAGGAACGGAAAGTCCATTTCTCCCAGCGCTTCCCAATCCTCCGCGGTAGCACCGAGCTGCGTGCCGGAATCACGCACCCGTCCCTGCAACTCCGTGGAGGACCGCATCCGCGCCAGCGCCTTCCACCACGCCTGGGCACTGCGCGCACCAGCCGGGAGTCCCCAACTTCAGCAAGGGCAGCGCGGGCAGGCTGTGCCCTGCCTTCAGCGACCCGCAGGCGAAAACACACCCACGCACACCCCACCCACCCCCTAATTTACCTGCTACGGGCTCGCATGAGGTGCAGCCTCCCCAAGTGACACCCCGGCTGCCCCCCCGCCCGCGCACCGTGGCCGGTGCGGCTCGCCTACAACAGCAGCATCACCCGGAGGGGACAAGCACCGGCTGCCTCGGCCCGCGGGGGGGGGGGGGGGGGCTGGGGGGGAACGGACGGACGGACACACGGACACGGACACGACAGTCCCCGCGCGGACCCCGCGGGGGGCGGCGGTGACATTTTAGGCGCAGGAGCGGCGTTGCCGGAGGCCGGCTGCCGCAGGGCCGGCTGCGGAGCGGCGGGGCCGGACCCTTGCGAAGAGCCGGGCATCGCGGCGGGGGCACCTCGGCACCGCCGAACCGGCGTTTTGGGAGGTGGGGTGTGGGGGAAGCGGCGCCGGCTGCCCACACCGCGAACAATAAAGCGGGCCCCGGCGGGCCGGGCGACCACCCACCCGCGGCGGAGCGGCGCGGCCGCGAGGTCCCCACGCACCGCCCGGGCCCCGCGGGGCGGGCGGGCGGCGGAGGGGAGGGGGCTGCGAGCCGAGCCGGGCCGCGGCGGCGCGGGGCGCTCTGCCGGGGCGCAGCGGCGTGAACACGGAGAGGGGTGAGGGGGGGGGGGGTTGCGGGGGGGATGCCGTGCGCGGAGGGACGCGAACGAGAGGCGAGGCGACCCGCCGCCCACTCACCTGCCGCGGAGCGGGCTCGGCACCGGAGGCCACCGCCGCCCGCCCAGGGAGCTGCTCCCCGTCGCCGGGCGCCCGCGGCCGCCGCTCAGAGCGCGCCGCCACCAATAGGCGCCGCTGCCATATTGTTACTGCCGGCGCTGCGAGGGGCGGCGCCGGTGGCCTCCTTGGAGACCGGCGGCCATTGGCTGCCCGGCGAGTCAATCCGGGCGGCGCGAACCAATGGGCGGCGGCGGCGGCGAACAGCGGGGCGTTCGGAGTTGGAATGTTGTGTGACAATGGCCCACGCGGCTCCCGGGCGGGAGGGGAGGGGCCGCTCCCCGGGGTGGGGGGGTGGCGGGCGGCGCTGCGTGCGGACCCACCCCCCCCCCCCCATACACACCCACCCCCCCCACGCACCGCGAGTCCGCAACAAAAGCGGCCAATGGGGCGTGCGGGCCGCCCGCCGCGCGGGGGAGCCCGGCCAATCCGGGGCGGGGGGGGGGGGAACGTGGGGGGCGATGGGCGAAGTTTGCGCGCGCGGCGGCGCGGCGCGGGATTGGCTGCGGGGGGGGGAGAGCGTGGCGCCGGTGTGAAAGCGGCTTCGGGGGGCGGTTGAGGGACTGTCCCCTCAGGGCTCCCCACGCCGCGCCGCCTCCGGTCTCTCGTCGCACCGCTCCGTTCGGGGAAGAAGGCTCCTCACGGCTGCGAGGGAGGTGGGGAGCCGTGAGAGGAAGGTGCCCGACCGCCTCAGCGCTTTCCTCTCGTGGCCCTCGGACCCCCTTGAAGTCCCCTGGAGCCGTGCTGAGCTTTCCCTGCCTCTCCCTCCTTCACGTTCACCACCAGACGCTTCGAAGGGGCCCTCGCCCAGCACGCGCTGGTGGCACCAGGCCTTTTGCCGGAGCCTTGTCCGCGCTTGCTTCTCTAGCAGTGTGTACCATCCTGCGCCATGTACCCCTTCCTTCTCTGTCCTTTGCCGCAGACCCCCAAGCGCCAACGGCTCTCTACCCATCTCAGACGCAAACAAGGTGCAACGACTTTTTTCCCTGTGCCGGTTTGTTCCTGTGCTATTTCTGCAGCTAAAGGTTTTGAGGGAATTTAAGCCAGTGCTTTAGGTGCACAGACCCTGTTCGATAGGACGCAGGGAAGCCAGAGAGCACCTTTTGTCACAAGCATTGCCCTGGCTGCCAAAGTGTTGGGGTTTTTTTTTTTTAAGTAATGACTCAGCTCAAATCTGGATAAGTACATTTTAAAATGCATTAATAAATAAACATGAGCTGTGTCTTAACTAATAGTATTTTACAAAACCTGCCAAACTACACAAGTTGATTTTTAAACTCAAAAAGGTAGAAGCACCTCCCCATCAACTTTGAAAGTCAAGATGGGGAAATCCAAATCAATTGTTATTAATCTTAATGCTTGGCTGTGTACTGAATAAAAAAATATTTATTTTAAAATACTGTGTATTTGTTCTACATTTAAATATCAGATACAAAATCTCAACTATATACTCACTAACCACGATGTTGCTTGCAAATCAAATCCAAATATAAACCATCAGTTTTCTTCACCAGGCTATTGATTAATTAATGGCAGGTGTTAAATGGCATTACCACACCAAGCACTTTAGTCAAAGCATTTAATCAGCAAGATTAAATGCAGGTCTTTTCCTGACATTGATTTTTAGGTAGAATTCCCCATTGATTCAGCCATGAGGTCTTATTAAAATTTGATGCTGTGCTACGGCCCCGGATTAGGAACGTTCAGCTAGTCAAGTGGCCACTCAGAATAATCACACGAACCCAACTGACAGCTACCCCAGGCGTGCGGTTTGTTTATAGCTCCTAATTGGTAGCGGAACTTAAAAACAGATCTTCATGGTGTCCATCAGCTTACAAACAAATGTATCTCATGAGACTATGGGTTGCATGTCAAAATCTCCGCGTACCCAAGAGCCATCCTAACCCCATGTGGGGCTGCTGCACCTCCTACAGCGCCCCAGACCAGGAGGACAGCCCTGGCCCTTGGCCACCTCAGCCCTTCAGTCACAACCAGGACCACAAAGGGAAGTCACGCCTGACCAGCCTGATAATCTTCTACAATGAAATGCCTGGCTCGGTAGATGAGAGGAGAGCAATGGGTGTTGTCTACTGTGACTTCAATGTGGCTTTTGACACTGTTTCCCATAAAATTCTCATAGACAAAGTGACGAAGCGTGGACTGGGTGAGCAGAGAGGTGGATTGAAAACTGGCTGAACAGCCTGTGCCCAGAGGGTGGTGATCAGTGGTGCAAAGTCTGGTTGAAGGCCAGTAACTACCCCGGAGGTCAGTACTGGGTCCAGTCCTGTTCAACATCTTCATTAATGATCTGTATGATGGCGTACCCTCAGCAAATTTGCAGATGACACAAAACAGAGTCATGCTGCCATCCAGAGGGATCTAGACAGGCTGGAGAAATGGGCTGACGGGAACTTCATAAAGTTCAGCAAGGTGAAGTGCAAACTCCTGCACCCGGTGAAGAACAACCTCATGCGCTAATATATGCTGGGGACCAGCCAGCTGGAACGCGGCTTGGCAGAAAAGGACCTTGTGCCCTTGCAGCAAAAGTGGCAAATGGCACCCTGGGCTGTGTTAGGCAAAGCACTGCCCGCAGGTCAGGGGAGGGGATCCTTCCCCTCAGCGCTGGTGAGGCCACACCTGGAGCGCTGTGTCCAGTTCTGGGCTCCCCAGCACAAGAGAGACACGGGCACACCGGAGAGAGCCCAGTGAAGGGCCACGAAGATGATGAAGGGACTGGAGCATCTCTCCTGTGAGGAAAGGCTGGGAGAGCCGGGGCTGTTCAGCCTGGAGAGGAGACGGCTCAGGGGGATCTTATCCATGTCTATAAATACCTGAAGGGAGGGTGCAAAGAGGACGGAGCCAGGCTCTTCTCAGTGGTGCCCAGCAGCAGGACCAGAGGCAGTGGGCACAAGGCAAAACACAGGAGGTTCCCTCTGAACACCAGGAAACACTTTTTTACTGTGAGGGTGACCGAGCACTGGCACAGGTTGCCCAGAGAGACTGTGGATTTTCCCACCTCGGTGATAGTCAAAAGCTATCTGGACAGCCAGCTCTAAGAGGCCCTGCTTGAGCAAGGGGTTGGACTAGATGCCCACCAGACTTTCCTCCAACATCAGCCATTCTGTGGCCAAATGGTATGCACCCTAAACTCCCTCCCCTCCTGCACCTCCTCCACTTTGATCTCTTTATGTTTGACGAGTGTTTCATTTCCACCACCAGCACATGTGGCTGCAAGTGCAACCTGGCCACTGAGTGGGTGCAAGTCACTGGCTCGGCTAAGTGGCACCAGGCAATGCTGCTTTGTCATCACATGCCAGCTAAGTCTGGTGATCTGCTGTCCCACCAGGCAGGCATGCATTTTTCATATATCCTGCAGCTCAGCATCAGCTTCCTCCATGTTGCAGGCAGCTCCACACAGCCGAGGGAAAATTTGCTCCGTTGGTAGTAGGCTATGTTTGGCTCCTCAGCCAATGTTTGGGCATGCTTGGTACACACGTTCCTTTATAACAATGACTTGTGAGTCTTCAAGGTCTCACAGCCTGGCTATTCGTTGTATGGTTAATGAGTTTTGTAACTCCAATCTTATTTTCCATTTTGGAAAACTTGTAGTGAAAGGGAAGGGAAAAGGCATGCTAAAAATAAAGGCGGGGAACATGATTTCAACTCTCAACCAAGGTGAAGCTACCAAAGACAGCAGAAGATCCTCCATGCAGCATGGCTGCTTTGCCCAAGCAGTGGTTGAGGAAGGCCGTATCGCTTCCTAGGTTTGGCCATCTAGCAGCAGAAGAATGCTTTGATGATGAGCTGTCCTCACAGAGCAAAATCGGGACAAGTTGCCAAATGCTGCTACTTCACGTTATTCTGCAAAGAAAAGCCAGAAGGACTGGATTAAGCTGAGCATGCTGAATTGTCCATGTGTTACAGATGAGACTACCAAGCTGCTACCACCCCACATGGTAAAGTAATTCAGAGAGCACTTCATTGAAATGAATTGGGGGGAGGGGAGAAAAGCAGAGAGGAGGTTTGAGATATTTTAAGGAGGGCTGAGGAATGCAATACGGAGCACTGGTGGCATCAGTGGGACTGCAAATCACAGACCTCTGGGAGCCTCTAGACCAATATCCTGCTCAAAGCAAGGCTGATTTCAGTCAGGGAGGTTGCACATGGATTTGCCTTGTCAAGATTTGGATATCTTCAAGGCTGGACATTTTACAGCTTCTGGGCTGCCTGTGCTCCTTGCAAACCATGAGCTCCAGCCCCTAGCTCTGTGTCCTTCCATCGGACACACTCCAGTCTGCCAGCCTCCTTCTGCTACAGGGACTTTCATATGTGTCCGAAGGAGAAATCCCGCAGCTGTCAGCATGGTTCGAGACAAACACAAGGCAATAAAACAGGCAATCATCCAGCAGGTCCTATTGCACCCAGTATCCTCCATTTATCAGCCTATGGCTCCTGCAGAGCACCGTACTGCAGAGTACTATATAGCCCCTCAGGCTCCTCTCACATCCAGTATATACTCTGTCCTATAAGTTCTCTGCGACGTACAGAGAAGAATGGTAAAGAAAAACTAACGGTGAAGGAAGGCCTGGACATTTTCTAACAGCTTGTAAAGCAAAATGGTAGCAGGACACATCTGGCGGTGTATGAGAGTCCGATGCCAGAGAGGTGCTGTTGCCTCCTGCCACCACAGGGCACCACACTGGCACGGTCCTGCCTAAATATTGGTGTGATTTTCAGCAGCTGCCCCAGAACAGGGGGAAACTGAAAGGGTCAGAGGTGCTGACCTATAGGTGACATCGACCGTCAGACCCAATCGGGGAATATTTCTGTTCCCATGGAAAGCTCTGGATGGCCGAGGGAGGAGGGGGCTGCCCCCTGGCCAGCCCAGCTCCTGCGTCCCATTCGCCTCTCTGCTCCACAGACGCTTCTGTCAGCACCAGAGGGGAAAAAAGGGGCCAGAGGCTGAACCCCCTGCAAGGGCTGCTTTTCTCTGCTGTGGCACAGGCTCGGGCGCCCATCAAACAACAGCGCAGGAGACCCGTCAGCCCCCCTCCTCAGTGCTGCCGCCCCCCTCCCCTGCTGCAGCCACGCACACGCCGGAGGCAGCTCCCGCAGGTGGGCGCATGTGGGCAGGCGGCTGCGTCTCAGCAGACCTGACTGCGCAACTGGGGCTTATGGCAGCTAACATAGGCATGTTTTTAAGCAATCCCACTTCATTAGTTACTTTTCCAGGGCCTCAGCATATAATGAGTGAAATCCATTAGTCATCTGACAGTTCTAGTTATTCTGCATGTCAAGTCCTATCTCTTCATTTATATATCCAGACTGTTATGGCAAGCTGGTGTGCTAGTTGTACCCCTCCACCTACTCAGTGCTAATTTAAGAGTTGTTATTTTTGGCTCGCAGTGCTTGTGTGCATAAAAACTTCAGTTTCCTCCAAAAATTTTTAAAAGGAAGCAGAACACAGGACTGAGCAGAAAACTCCCCTTACTAAACACTCTTTGTCCAACATCAGCAATCTTTGTTTTCAGGTAATGTCGCAGAAGTAAAGCAGCATCCTCTGAAGATTCTGTCTGAGGTTATGAATGATTGAGTTGCAAAAAAACCCAGTCGTTTTTGGTAGGGGCGTACAGGAGTAGCTCACTCAGAAAAAAACAACTTGGCAATTCACAATGAACAGAGGAGTATAACTTATTGCAAGGACGGTAATTCTGCGACTGAAAACATGAAATAGCATTTGCTTATCTAAAAATTTGTATGGGTGAGGAAACTCAAAAGCAAAGTTCTGTTACTACCCTAGATATTCATTCTTCGTTTGTAAAATTAATTATCTGTAAATAAAGCATCTTCCTTTTTGCAATGCATGTTTTGATATTTCACCTCTACACAAAAAAATGCTCTTATTTCTGAGCAGTACACTCAGGGACCTGAGAGACAGGAATGGCAGAGGACATCTCAGGTTGAAAAATTGAAAAGGGTGTTAAAAAAATCACAGAAATTGTTTTTTGAAAAATAGTTACAGACTGTTACCAGTACATCCTTTCAATGATGTGCCGCTGCATGTGTGTAACCTAACATTTTCTGTCCCGCACACAGCAGAAGGATTGCTTACCACAAAAGTCTTAACGAGGCCATCAAATTGGATTGATTTAGGACTTGTTCTCTATTGGTGAACCTTACAGCTTCTACTTATTTACCTGTCAGTTTTGCCTGTAGCTTAAAAAAGATGTTCACCACAACACAGAAGTTGTTGCCTTCTTTTTTCTTTGAAAATGGGAACAACAATGTAATAATGGAGGTTTCTTTCTGGCTTTTCAGTAAAAGTAACTCAGGCTGGTTACAAGACCCTGAATTCCAAACACAGAGAGTAACTCTCCCTGCTTAGTACCCCTTTTAGCAGGGACGGTCTGCTTCCATGAGTGCAAAATATCTATTACCCCTTATAGTCCCTCGGAGAAGCTGTCCCAGGCCTTTGCACGCTTCAAGAATTACAATAATGCCTTCCCTGTTTTTTTCAGCTGGTATTTGAAAAATTTTCAGACTGCAGCAAGGCTAATAGTAGGATCACATCCTCACACATCTAGGATTATGTAAAAGAGGGGATGCATATGATGAATTACTGTCCATCTCAGCCTCTGTTTTGAAAAATGCTGTTATCAGTGTTCACTGCCAGTTGCGAGTGAAGTGATATGTAAAATCACAGTACACTGGATAATGGCAATGTCTGAGCTTTCCTGGGGCTATGATTGCTCATGTCATAAGGACACATATGGGGAAGGCAACAGCCCTTGCTTCCAATCCCCCTTTTTGCTGTCAGTTTATAGTATTAAAGGGTTTCTTTCAATGTCATTGCTAATTTCACAGAATCACAGAACAGTTTGGATTGGCAGGGACCTTAAAGATCACCTAGTCCCAACCCCCCTGCCACAGGCAGGGGCACCTTCCACTACACCAGGCTGCTCAAAGCCCCGTCCAACCTGGCCTTGAACACTTCCAGGGAGGGGGCAGCCACAGCTTCTCTGGGCAACATGTGCCAGTGTCTTACAACCCTCACAGGAAAAGAATTTCTTCCTTATATCTAATCTAAATCTACCCTCTTTCATTTTAAAGCCATTACCCCTTGTCATCTCACTATATGCCCTTGTAAAAAGCCCCTCTCCAGCTTTTTTGTAGGCCTCCTTTAGGTACTGGAAGGCTGCTATAAGGTCTCCCCGGAGCCTTCTCTAGTCTGAACATGCCCAACTCTCTCAGCCTGACTTCATAGGAGAGGTGCTCCAGCCCTCTGATCATCTTTGTGGCCCTCCTCTGGACTTGCTCCAACAGGTCCATGTCCTTCTGATGTTGGGGGCCCTAGAGCTGGACACAGCACTGCAGGTAGGATCTCACAACAGTGGAGCAGAGGGGGAGAATCCCCTCCCTCGAACTGCTGGTCTTGCTTCTTTTGATGCAGCCCAGGCTACAGTTGTCTTTCTGGGATGCAAGCACACATTTCCGGGTCATGTTGAGCTTCTTGTTAACCAACAACCCTAAGTCCTTCTCCTCAGGGCTGCTCTCAATCCATTCTCTGCCCAGTCTGTATTTGTGCTTGGGATTGCCTCAACCCATGTGCAGGACCTTGCACATGGCCCTGTTGAACTTCATGAGGTTTGCATGGGTCCACCCCTCAAGCCTGTCCAGGTCCCTCTGGGTGGCATCCCTTCCCTCCAGTGTGTCGATCACACCACACAGCTTGGTGTCGTTGGCAAACTTGCTGAGAGTGCACTCAATCCCACTGTCCATGTCACCAACAAAGATGTTAAACAGTGCTGGTCCCAAATCCAACTCTTGAGGAACGCCACTTGTTGCTGTTCTCCACTGGGACATCGAGTTCTTGACCACAAGTCTTTGAGTGCGACCATCCAACCAATTCCTTATCCACCAAGTGGTCCATCTGTCAAATCCATGTCTCTCCAATTTAGAGACAAGGCTGTCATGCAGGACAGTGTCAGAGGCTTTGCACAAATCCAGATAGATTACATCGGTTGCTCTTCCCTTATCCACCAGCACTGTAACCCCATTGCAGAAGGCCACCAAATTTGTCAGGCACAATTTGCCCTCAGTGAAGCCACGCTGGCTGTCACCAAGCACCTCCTTATCGTCCATGTGCCCTAGCATAGTTTCCAGGAGGATCTGCTCCATGATCTTGCTGGGCACAGAGGTGACACTGACTGGCCTGTAGTCCCCCAAATCTTCCTTTTTTTCCTTCTTAAAAATGGGGGTTATGTTTCCCCTTTTCCAGTCAGTGGGAACTTCACCAGACTGCCACAGCTTCTCAAATATGATGGATAGTGGCTTAGCTACTTCATCCACCAGTTCCCTCAGGATCTGCAGATGCGTCTCATCTGGTCTCATGGACTTGTGCACCTTCAGGTTTGAGACCATCCTGATCTTCTCCTACAGTGGGTGGTTCTTTATTCTCCCAGTCCCTGCATTTGCCTTCTGCCACTTGGGCAGTGTGGCTGGAGCCCTTGCTGGTGAAGACTGGGACAAAAAAGTCACTGAGTACCTCAGCCTTATCCATATCCCACATAATCAGGTCTCCCGTTTCCTTCTGGGGAGGACCCACATTTTCCCTAGTCTTCCTTTTATCATTAACGTACCTATAGAAACTTTTCTTGTTGCCCTTGATGTCCCTGGCCAGATTTGTTTCTGTCAGGGCTTTGGCCTTCTTAACCTGATCCCTGGCTGCTCAGAGATTTCTCTGTATCCCTCCCAGGCTATCAGTCCTTGCTTCCACCCTCAGTAGGCTTCCTTTTTGTGTTTGAGCTTGTCCAGGATCTCCTTGTTCATCCATGCAGGCCTCCTGGCATTTTTGCCTGACT